TAACTGCCTCGTTAGGGACTCGCCGACACCAACCCACACGAGCTATGGTTCTGAGACAACGATTGTGGAACATCTGAAGACGTCTCAGTTCCGCTGCTCGAATAGACCAAGTCTCACAGCCATAATGTCCAACAGTGTCGATAAAAAATCGGTCTTCGAAAGGGAACTTGGCTGGAACGATCTAGGATGGAGTTTAGGACAGTACTCCTATTCATTTGTTGCTGGTCCAAAAATTTGACAAAAATCGAATTCCGCTCGGAGGAATTATCTAATGGCCACACGACCGCTGTTGACTGGAAAAAACTTTCTTCGAGAAGTTCGCGCCTGGCGGCTTTTGCAGACTCCAACAGTTGTCCGTGGCCCAGGTCTACACGTCGAGATCGATGGATGGAAAATATCTCGCCGTAAAAACCACGCAGGGTGAGTCCTTCCCCAGCAGTGACGGGGCTTATCTGGAAAAGATCCATAGTCATCCTCACTATTAGACCCATCACCAGAACGATACGCTTCCTTGTCAAATCAGCTTCATATGCATTTGTCAACTGGAGGGCTCTCCTGGAAAGGGGTACGCCAGTCAAACAACGAAGCGGCTGTCCAAACGGATCTTGGCACACATTTCAGTGTGTGATTAACAGTTTGATTTCGACCCATCTACGCAACATAGGAAATCAGGTGAACGTTGGGCGGACTGTTAAGCATACTTAGGGATTTCTGTCCGAAATCAAGTGGATACAGAGTTTGACTCAATACCGAAGCTATTGGCATTTAAAGGTTAACTTCGCTCACAATGAGACAACGGGGGCTTTCAGGACGACAGGATGATGACATCAGCGTAGTTTAAATCTGGCACCCAGGGTTGGGAACTCAACTGGACATCAGACTAGCCCTCCAAGACCCATTCAACGGATAAACTGAGTATGAAGTTCAAAAACACCACGACCGGTGGAGTCTTATCATACACCTGACACAAAATCGAACTCAGATGTTTTCTCAGTGAATACCAGGACCCGAACGTCCACTGATGAGATGAACTCTCCTACGGGGATTTGATTATCAGATACGGAAGCGAAGAAAAATGGTCTCCCGTCTAAGGATTTCACATTGAAGAGGTTTCCACTGTAAGAAACTCAACTGTATCTGCACATGAAAGTGAGAATGATGGCAAACACTTTGGGCAGGCGAAAGTACGTTGAAGTAATATGCCTGCCCACTTGAACGAATTTCCAGAATTGTCGTCCGTACAGTGGCATAAGCAAGGGAAAATAGTTACAAGGTTGCTAAAAACTCATCGACAGACCACAACCCTTCTTGGGGCTCATCAGGTAGACACAGTCCCCCAGTTTCCCGTCCAATTCAATCCAAATCGGACTGATTGCGACACATAAACTCATTCGAAAATCAATTTAGTTTTCACGAAGGACTCAAATGAAGCTCTCGTTTAAGATGTTCAACTGAATGCGCTGCACGGAGGCCGCCTCTAGTTTCTGTGATATCTCGAATATCGTGCCAACTGAAACATGAGGCGGATTTTGTGTAGCATATTCACTTGAAGAATACTTTAAACGAGAGATTCATTAGTCTCCTGTGAAAACTCAGTTGATAAACCAATGCGTGTATTCGTCGAAACCAGTTCTATTCTTGTGAAGTTTCTGTGCTCGAATATCGTGCCAACTGAAACATGAGGCGGATTTTGTGTAGCATATTCACTTGAAGAATACTTTAAACGAGAGATTCATTAGTCTCCTGTGAAAACTCAGTTGATAAACCAATGCGTGTATTCGTCGAAACCAGTTCTATTCTTGTGAATTCGAATGCACGGCATTACGCCGCGACTACTGTGGCTGTTCTACTGGTGATGAATCACCTCTCGACTTAACTCGAACCATCTTAAACCAAGAGACGAAATTTCGCACCTGCCCGATAATCCGACGAATAGAGGTGAACCTAATGCATTCAAACAAAACAACGAACACTACTTGACCTACACCGATTGATCGCCGTCGTGGAATATTGGTCTGAACCAGAAAGCTGGTGAACTCACACTAGGTTATATCATGATCCAGCCAGCAGTTGGCCCACGACTCACCACTTGACGGATTAGTGGCGATCCACTACTGTTGGACCGTTTCAAATTACAGACGACTTGGTTTCTCAGTAGTGTTGTCCACCTGTGCGAGTATTCAGTAATAACATAGTGGATAGTTCTGGACGACTCTGAGCAACAATCGCCACTGGTTCGGAATGGAACTGAATGGTTCACACTAAATCACCAACAAGGGTATGAAAGTTAGAAGTGTATGAAAGCATTTTTGCACAATGACCATTGGTCAATTTTGAAACAATCAAAAATGATACCTTCAGGCAGACAGGGACTGAAAATAATGCCTTCAGTGGTACAGTTTCACTCGGCTGTTGCCGTGTTTGTTTCGACAAATTTCCGTTCGTAGTGATTTTATGTGAGTCACTGGTTGTAGCCACGTCGCAGATTGCCAGGCCCACACCAGAAATAGAGCAACAGTGAAAAGGAAAAGGGAATACCATCTAAATTTCACAAGTACGGTTTCATCGAATGACGAAATACACGTGTGCCATAGGAGAGGTCGGCCAGACCAGCGATGTAAGTAACTCTAGAAATACGTCATCACTCGAACTAGTCCGGAGACGGCATCACCTTGAGGGATTCGTACGCGGCCTTCTCCAAGGCTTCACTAAAAAGCAAAACAAATAAAAACGACTAAACAAATCAGGTTTAGTGATTCAGGGGACAAAAAAGGCTGTGAAGTGGGATGTGCGAATCGACCAAAGGATGCAAAGACAACAGAGAGCTCCTTCATTAGAAAGAACACTACCCTAAGAATAACAATTTCAGCGGGACTTTTCAAATTCAATAGGAAATCCGGTGCGGGATGACCACTTCCGCAACCTTCAAACCGACCCCATTTTCTCGTCTTTTGAATGTTCTTCTCTTGCACAGACCATAAGTACCACATGATCTGATTGGTTCACTGGTTCACTTCAAGTTTGTTACAACAAGCAGTCATATATGAGACAGATGTTAAAAACGACAGCTCGAGCAAATTACATAAAAGAATGACACATGAATGTGAGACCTCGTCCATGGTCCAAGCTCCTAGACTAAACAGCGGTTGCAGTTAAGAGAAGGAGGGGAAACCCAGGTACACTCGGTCTCTTTATTGGGGCGGTGCACGCATGTTCGCATGATCATCCAAGCCAGAGGCACGTTTAGCGAATGTGGCAGCATAAAAAAGTTGCCTTCATAAAAGTACGACTTAAAGAGCAGGATTCAATGGTCGCCTGTTACATTAGGTAGAAGAAGTAGCATACAACTGAAAACCCATTTAATTTCACGCACCGGTCATCTGGATGTGCCACCTGAATAAGGGCGTAAGCACGTTGACGTAGATTTCGGCCAAATAGGTAAGCGATCCCGTATTCGGTTACAACGTAATGTACATGAGCTCGTGTGAGCACTACTCCCGTACCGCGCTCGAGAACAGGGACGATCTTTGGTCGCCCTGTCGGCGTTCTTGAGGTCAGTCCAAGGATTGGCTTGCCCTTCCCGTCCAAGCTTATCGCCGCACCGCGGATGAAATCGACCAAGCCTCCGACGCCTGAAGATCGAATCGCATATTAGCGAATGATGTACAAAATAGTGTCAAAATAGGGTTAAAAAAAGTTGATCAAAATTCAGGGATATACCACCAAACAGTTTAAAGATGGTAATGGACAGTTCGCGAGTTTATAACAATCTTATGAAGGAAAATATCTCGATATCTGAAGTACATCCTCAACAGAACCCTGCCACAACCTGTATATTGCGCACTCACACGAAGAACATAATAAACGATAGATTTATTCGTAGACCGGTTCACTTGCAGAGCATGTGTGAATAGTAGAGGTTTATGAAGAACCCAGTCTTTGACCGGTTTCCCGATGGTCTACACAGGTACGAGCAGTTTATGAATGGGTCATTCCGTTCCCAATATATACTGGTGAATAAATAGTGCATAAGCCCGTTAGGATGAAAAAACTCGGAGAAAAAGTACAGCCAAATGAATTCAGTCAGTTCACTTCAGGAATGACCACACAGGGAAGTCACATCTCAGCGAAATTCACACACACAGTTCCACTTTACTTTCGAAGGGAGACTACTAGATATCCGGCAGCACAATAACCAGGGTGAAATGGGTCGATTATCCGTTCACCACCCGAGGATCAGTTGGCCATGATAACCAGCCGGTAGAGGGTGTTCTCCGTCGGATCGGATCGTTGAGACCGCCAAACAACGAATTAAAGAGTTTTATTCTCTCCGGGTGATTGCTGCATGAATTCACAAATGTTTCTGCCCACTGTCAAGCTGGTGTTCCCACCAGTTTATAGTATCAGTTGCACAGTTGTTTGGTGACAATTGAAGGTTGAATAGAGCTGAAGACTAATGTACTTTAATGTAAAAGATGTGAAAAGCGCAATTCATGTTTCGGCTGTTAAGTAATGGGAATTGTGTTTAAAAGACCGGAATAAGTTGAAGGTCCTGATCATTGGGACATCTGTGCTTGGGTATGGCATTTAAGTGTTGTTCTTTTTTGGAAAGCCTTCACGGATTCCGCTTAGAATTTTCGCTTTGAAGAGCTTACAGTTATAGAAGTCAGTCAAAAGTAAAGACGATTAGCTGCTTGGATTAAATGGGCAAAGCGCTAGAAGCATTCGTAATATTTGTTAGGTTCCAAATACCAGTTGCCTGTTTTAAATAAACCCGTAGAGGTTACTATGGATTTGACTGACTTTAGTAAGGAACTACGAATGTTGACGATTAAGCGACTCACTCCACTGACCAGTGATTTGTTCGCTTGTTCTTACAGTTCTTCGAAAAGTACAATCGCTGAATGCCATGACTTTTGTACCTGTCAAGGTGATCATGCTAGCTAACCAGAGCTGGTATTTTTGTATGAAGAGGAGTGATGTGCTCAAGGTTATGACTACCGACACTTCACTTTTACGGTGGACAAGCACTCGTGTCAATGCTGCGATTACTGCCTAGGACGATGATATTGACAGTGTGATGCCCGCAGGTGAGTGTATGTCTTGTTTTCCATACGTTATAATACACAGGGAAACATTATAAACGCGATACTTCGTCAACTTGTTTCAGGTGCGAAATGCTCATGAATTCGAAATGTACATTGCAAGCTGAGTGCTAATCTCACAGGGATAAATCTAGCTCATAAATATCATCGTTTACTCTTGCCAAGAAAATCACAAAATGCAACCAAAATTTTGTCGCAGCGTACCGGTAGAGCTAACTCCGGGACAGTTCACTTCAAGAGTGTGCTAGCACCAAATTATCAACTTGAATAACGCAGTCAGAATAACCGAGTGCGGGAAATTTAGTTGTATCACAAACATCACATGGCTAATGAAAAGGCTGGATGCAGAAGTTAAACCTCCATGAACGGAATATTCCATCATGACTTGCCAGCAGATTGGCAAAATAACAAGCACGCAAGTGGCAAACGATTAGTATATCCAGGATGGAGCTCCACTAAATGAGTTTGCCCAAAACATGCACATACAAATCTAGCTTACCAGAAAAGATAGAGTTGCCCAAAGAGTCGGCAGCCACCTGCCCTGTGAGGTCGATCGCCAGACAGGTGTTAATGCAAGTAGGTTTGGGATTCTGAGCAATCGTCTCCGGTCGTCCAAGCCATTCAATATCACACATGTCTGTAAAAATTCGTGTTGAAAAAATCCACTTTAATTGCAGAAAGATTTCCCAGTGACTACGCGTGTTACGTAGATCAGGTAAACGATGCAACATTCACTGAACTTATAAGAACTAACCTCATAGCAGCATAAAACAAAACGGAGGGTTCAAAAATGTATGGATTAGGGAAAACAAAAAGTTGCTTCGAACGAACAGGGGTAGATTGCAGATGAGTCTCAAACTATCTGTTGAGCATCTAACCGCCGAGGTTCAAGACCGTTGTGTACACGTGACAATTGAGACTTTATCAAAATCACAATGAAAAATAATCGGCAACCCGTACAAAACTGTGCTACGATGCACTGTCTGAGGTCATCGACTAGGGAGTAAACCAAGAACAACTCTAGGCGAAATGTAAGATTGAAACTAGACAGTTCTAGCCAATCAGCAGGGATTGTGGTCTCCGACTTGCTGAAGCCATCTTCAGTTGTGTTACGTCGACAGTCCTTTCAGTGTATTAGGACGAAGCATCGAGCTGAATTTATGCAGACGATGGTTATAGGAGCCTTGGTGATATCCCGCATACATCCTTAGTTCTCAGCCAAACATAATCTGATGCCACGTTAGCTGTGGCGTGGCTTCATTGGGGATTTCGCGTTAACGGCTACAAACGACAGGGCAGATGAGAGAAAACAGGCCAGTGCTGATGTAATCATCTTTCTCTTTCACATATTATTCCCTGAGTCCTTTCAGATCACCTCAACGATATTCTCCGTATTGACCCAGTCATTAGGAGGACGAATGGATACGTCCTCCATTGTCCCGATTGATACGAATTCCTGGGCGTCAGACTCACGTTGTATAAAGGCTTCTGGCATCACTAATAACTGTCATCTTACAGAAACAAGTAGAACCTTGGTCCGAAATTTTGAAATATGGGGCTGCGTCGGCCAAGTCTTTACACTTCATCAGGTGTTAGAGAAACGCCATACGAGTCATAATCTTGGCATTCATTGAATTCAAGAGCACGTACGAGTATGTCGATCGGTCAGTGTTCTGAACCACAGTCGTTTAAGGGAGCATGCGCCAAAAGTTTGTGAGCACAATCCGGTCCCAATATTGACATAATTATGGGCATGTGAGAAAATATGGTGATTTCTCTTAAAGCCTCCATACAAAAATCGGTAAGGGTGCTCGAATCACGTAAGTCTTATAAAAAGCATATCACTGGGTCTCGAAGATCGCATGTACCAGACTACAGTAAGGACGGTATTGCCGTATGTTTGCGAAACATGGACTCTGCGGACAGATGATGTGAGGCGTCTTGAGGTTTCTGACCACTGATGCCCCAAAAGCGCTGTTGGCGTCGGATGCCTCCAACAAATGTGTAACGAAGTTATTAGAAAATGGATATTTTGTTGTGTGGCACGTAATTCGGTCGCGGAAAACATTCAGCACCATCAAACGCGGTGGCCCGGTCATGTGTTACGCATGCCGAACTATCGACTACCCAGACGAGTGTTGTTCTGAGTCATTATCGTCATCTGCTACAACAATCGCGCAATTGCCGGACAGTGGTCAAGCTGCAATAGATTCATTCGCCGAAAATGTGGGGAGGCAGAACAGATAGCTGTGTACTACAGGCGGTAGCTTATATAATTGGTGCATAAACACAGGGGGTCAGTATACTTTTCACTGGGGAGAGCGGGAGGGGGATATGCATTGAGGGCGAAAGCTTAAATGCACGAGCCTCACTGAGGACGCCACTGGGCCATTTCTTACAGTCTCTAGCTATTAATGTCTCGTCTCGGGATCCTCAGCCACGGAGACGGAAATGACCAGTGCGGTTGAGATCGCTGGCAATGACTTCCATACTTCTGGGCATCTTCTTCAGAAAGGTGAAAACTGCGAGGATAATGTATGACTTGGTGGGAAGGTGTGAAAGTGACAAGAAGGTCGGATCCGTCGACGCAATCCCAGAATGCTCGAAATTTATTGAGGGCCGCAATCCCTCACCAAAGTGGCAGTAAGGAAGCCGTCGAGCGTCCAGGTCAGAAAAGTAAGCTGCGCTCAGACGGTCAACCAGTTCAGCAACTTCCGACGACAATGAGTGTTCAGACATGCCACAGAACCACGGCCGACTATGATGGGTGTTCACCCTACACCGATCGGACAGCTTCGATCAAGGTCAAATGTGAGTTTTAGATAATGTGATGCCCTCTGCAATTCTCGCACTCGCTTGTTCACAATAAAGCTGTTGTGCTCCTAGCTGACGAGTCATTTTTCGACAATAAGGCACCGGAGTGGGAACAACAGAAGGAGATAACGAAGAGATTATGTTGTTGGTGTGGTCGCTATTAGAGGATGATAACCCCGCCCCGTTTGGCTGAAGACATTGTAATAAATGAATTCAATCGATAGCAGTGTAGTTCATGCTGTCAGCTTCTTTTCAGATTCATTGGGTGCTTGGAGAGGTAGGCATCTCAGAATGTTTGCGACAGACCAACAAAAGGTCTCATCCCTTGCCCACTCTCCTTCTCACTCTAAGGCTTTCGATATAATTAGAAAAACCTTGTGGTTACGAGGCAGGGAAGCACCGGAAAAAACACAGATGTCACCTCTGATGATAACGTCCAGTGAGTCACTGGGGTTGTCCGCCCTACCGCAGATATTAGGGCACTTCCGCTGGATGTCACTGATGTTGATAGCGTGAGATTTGAAATTTTTCAATTGCGATTTCGTCCTGTGAGTGAAGCCAATCTATTATGAAGGGCCGAGAAGCACAGCAAAGCTGTTTCATACCCATTGGGAATCATCAGCATCTCAAGATACTCGAGGTTTCGAACCAGCCACCTTCCGGTCAGTGCTTTACCAACTAGCAGTTTGGTCAAGAGCGGCTCACTAACACTGACAAACTTGCACTTGCATCAGCTATCTGAACGTGGTGAGTTTGAATGCTTTCTAGTGTTCGTGAGATTTGTTTTCAATTGCGATTTCGTCCTGTGAGTGAAGCCAATCTATTATGAAGGGCCGAGAAGCACAGCAAAGCTGTTTCATACCCATTGGGAATCATCAGCATCTCAAGATACTCGAGGTTTCGAACCAGCCACCTTCCGGTCAGTGCTTTACCAACTAGCAGTTTGGTCAAGAGCGGCTCACTAACACTGACAAACTTGCACTTGCATCAGCTATCTGAACGTGGTGAGTTTGAATGCTTTCTAGTGTTCGTTTAATTGTCTGACGAATCACGAAATCGGATAGGAATGGAGAGTGGATATCACCATCGGAAGCCATTATTTGTACGGAAACTTTTAGGGAACTCCGGGTACGCTCTCACACACCCACAAAGTTGAGAATGTAAGTTACCACACTGACTAAATTCCGTAGCGTTCCTTGATGAACGAGTCAAATGTGTCTTCGTTCGTTCAGCTGTAACAACCTTCAGTTCCTGGCTAGCATATGACCCGAAGGAAGCAAGAAGGCTGAGATACTGCCAGTCTGCCCAACCCTAGACAGCAGTCGAGATGCAGAGGTTGGGTTCAGAACACAGACCTTCCGGTCCCGTCACGAAGAGACTGGACCTTACCTGGGTTCAGAAGACCTTCCGGTCCCGTCACGAAGAGACTGGACCTTACCGTGGTGTGACGGTTTGCGCACCTCAGCGATCCATTGAGCTAGCTATGAGAGTGTCCCGCGACGCTCACAGAGTCTCTCATACCAGGTTGGTCAAAGGTTAGAGGTCTGACGAACACAGTCTCCTGGTCCTCCAGGTTGGGGGTTGGAACATGTGGCGACTTGTTCCGTA